ACCTCCCCGTCTTTTTCCAAGAAGGGGATTTTGTGATTAGATTTGAGTTTTTTGTTCAATAGTCTGAAGAACCCGTTTTTGTCTCCGCTCTCAAGAATCTTTTTTTCCAAATGTTTGTTGTATTTGTGGAGCAGGTGATCAAATTTACGGGAGAACCGGTGAAATTTGTCCCAATCGCCAGCTGACTGTGACCTTTTGGCCGCGTGGAACAAGCAACTCCTATGGTCAAACATATTCTGAAGGTATACAGGGAGGTAGATTTTGGAATTAGAAACCCGCTTAACAGGAACAAACATATCTATGGCATGAAGTAAAATACTGAGAAACATTTCGTATTTTTCATTGACCGAGTTGGTGGACTCAAATGACTCTCTCCAAGCAATGGACGACAGATAGGCACTAAGACTCGAAAAGTCACAGCCCTTGAAGTCCCTGAAGAAAGTGAACTGAGGCTCGCCATAACTACTATTTATACAAAACGATAGACTATTGTGATCGCTACAACCAATCGGAGGTTCGACCACCACATTACTGACTAGATCGGCAACATTAGATAGCACCAAATCCAGAATACTGTCACCTCTTGTGGGCTCCAAGACATATTGTCGAAAATTTTGTGCCAAAAGTGCATCCATAAAAACTGCCCCAGTGCTGGCCTGCCCCCTATTTTCGAAACGCCAATCCACCTCGGGGAAGTTAAAATCCCCAACAACCACCGTTGGGTGTTCACACATGGATAGGTCACTAATAATATTGCCTAGCTGATCGCTGAGCATAACAGAGCAGTGAGGGGCTCGGTACACCACTATAAACCTAAATCTCCTACACTCGGTAATTACATCAGCTGCTAAAATTTCATAAGCGTCCCGAACCGAATCAGAAAAAACTTCAATTGAATTGAAAATATTTCGAACCAATAACAGTACTCCTCCACCTTGCTTTCTATGCCTATCGCGACGTAAAACACAGTAATCATCAGCAGAAATCAAAGAGTAAAGTGCATGCGACGAATTCAGCCAAGTCTCACAAAACATTAACACATCAACATTTTTCCTCAACAAGAAATCAATTTGGATCGAGTTCCTAGGGAGAGACCGCAAATTAGCAAAAATGCAGGAGATACTATCCTTAGATGTCCTGGGAGAGGGGGCTAGTTTAAAGGTTTAAACATAGCTTTACGTTCCGAATGAGAAGAAGGCTTAGACCTAGATGGATGGGCATTGGAATTATTCAAATAAGAAGAAGAATTCTGTGAAGCGGTAAAAGGAAGTCTCTCTTGGCGTAACTTATTACGTTCTTCCCTGGTCAATGACGGCCTGATGAACACGCCTTTGACTGGGAAAAATCTCAGATTTGGTGCTCTTTTTAAAACTTGCTTCTGAAACCGGCTAGACGGTAATACTACTTTAAGCAATCGTGGAGACCTCCTATTACTACTTCCCATTCTGTAAATAGACACAGGTACGCATTCAATACTTAAAAACTGAAGTAGCTTATTCACACAATAACTATCATGAGACAATCGCGACATTACATTGGGATCATTGTTCTCTGCTACGCCCGCAATCACCACAGATCTACTTCTATCAAAATCAATCAAAGAATCAGGCCTGACGGAATTACCGAAATCAAAAGGCTCAATATGAGCTACCGAAGAAACAGAAGACATGTCATGAGAAGAACGATCACAAGAATTACTCGATAAACTTGCCTTAAGCGACGATATTTCTCTTTTAAGCGAATCATTCTCATACATCAATTCTTCTTCCCGTTTCCTTGAAGAGATCAACTCACGATCCTTAGCACGTATGCTGTCCAAAAGATATACCAGAACCACTTTCAGATGAGTAGAAATAGAGGCGTCCCTATCCAGCAGTGATAAAGCATCGGATAGTTTCATTCGATCCACATCATTGCCCGATACCCTTGCGCCAATATCCGAACTGAGAGACTGTGAATCCTGAAGAGAGTCAGACGACGAGAGCAAATCCATTATCAATGGCAATGAACTTTGACCTTTAGAGGTGGCAATCGATCAGCAATTAAGAACCGACCCCCGCCACCCGAGGTCTCACACAAGTCAAAAGAACCAGAGAATCCACGAAAAAGTTGATAATAAGTGAAATAGAGAAAAGGCGCTATCGAAAAAATACACCTCTTCCGGTGGCACGAAGCAGAATTGGTTAATATGCCCCCGCCACAAGGGGTCTCACCGAAGAAGGGCTCAGAGCGCAGACCCGCGCCGCCGCACGCAGCAACCAGTCGATTTTGAATGTCTTTCATTGTCTTCTTTTTGAATGTCAAGGATATCTTTCAGGTCCTTCAAACGATTATCCTCCTCGTCCTCCAGGGAATGGTCCTTTAGGTCTTCCGAGTGGATATCCTCCTTGTTCTTTAGAGGAAGGTCCTCCACGTCTTTGGAATGAATACCCTGCTTGTGCAAACGGATATCCTCTTCGTCCTCCGGCAAATGGTCCTCTGGGTCCTTGGGACGGATATCCTCCTTGTCCTCCGGCGTAAAGTCTATCAGGTCCTCGGAACGGATACCG